ACTATGAATGTAAGCCGGACCACACTAAGACAGATCTCAATCGACTGAATAATACCATCATTGACCACAACACTGCTTGGGAGGAGAGAACCACTCGGGAAAGATTTTGAAATGGGATCAATGAAAATGTGTAGTTCTAATCGCGCAGTGCTATTCATTTGGGTTGTAAAACTAAGCAGTCTCTGTTGTAACTCTTTTACCTACGTCAACTCTGAAATTCTAGATTTATATCAGTTCAAATCGCAAAGTGCTATCCATTTGGGATATATAAATACGCAGCCACAGTTGTAATTACTTAACCTCTGTCAAATTTCAAATTTAAGAATTATACCAGTTCAAATCTAACTACTATTCATTTAGGATGGATAAAAACCACAGTCACAGTTGAAATGACTTAACCTTTGTCAACTTTGAAAATTTTGAATTATACCAGTTCAAATCGAACAATGCTATTCGTTTGGGATGTTTGAATACGCAGCCTCTGTTGTAATCACTTAACCTTCGGCAACTTTAAAATTTTAGAATTATATTAGTTCAAATCGAACAGTGCTATTAATTGAGGATGTATGTCTAAGAAGTCTCTGTTGTAATAACTTAACTTTCGTCCCCTGTGAAGTTTTAGAATTGTACCAGCTCATATCGCACATTACTATTCTTTTGTAATGCATATCTATGCAGTCTCTGTTGTAAATACTTAACCTGCGTCAACTTTGAAATTTTAGAACTATACAAGCGCGGTTCTGTTTCTAATTTGTTTTATTTTCAAGATTGTCTTTCGTAATATCAGAATAAATTGACAAGATTCATTTTACATCATACTGATGAAGGATATCTGTTATCAAAAATGTTTATTGATACTTCTATACTCCTAAAGGAAGAGACCGATTTCATTGAGCCGCAACTCCTCTGAAACCATGCAAAGTCGGAAATATTTGTGATATGACGTATAAATGTAGTGTTTTGTACTTCCTTAATTTGTCTTTGAAACAATCTTTTTTCCACAGAAAACGCCAATTTTTGAGAAAATATCCTATTTCGGAGACCGTTATCGATCCGTGTCTTATACGCTTTCGCGCATGCCCAGTCGACGAACTGCCCGCGAAATCCAAATGAAAGTAAGAAGAAAGGATAGAAAATAGGACAGTTAGGCCTATAAGGATCCTGTATTGTATTTTAAGTGCACCATTTTGCGAAATTAAACGACATCCACCCTTTTTACTCAGGTGCAGAAATATCCAAAAATGAAATGGGCGTAGAACGTGTCGAATTGATCCTCCCCCTTTTTATGTGTAAACACTGGCACCCTTGACACTCTTTGTTTCAACACTTGCCCAATTGTACCACGATTTTGGGCATCTTCTAGTGTATTTAATGTCTCCTGTTGTAATATTGGTGTTCTTTTGTACACTTTTTTAGACATATATATATTAACCTCTGCATGATTCGTGCATTTACATACAGTATAACTTCATCCAAACCTGACCTGAAAGATAGCTGTCATTTTTGTTAAACACTCATACAATGATAGGTTACCAGGTGTGCGATTCAGGCTCCTTTTAGCTTTTTTGGTTCTTTTTCAAAGGAGCATTAGAGTTTGACATTACACTTTGTCTGTTACAAAATGCAGCGTCTTTAAGTTTTAAATTGGCCTTTAGTATCGCAATGATAAGACGCCGTGTGTGTTTTCTAACATTCGTATACGTAATGGAAGATAAAAGAGTAGTTATCTTAATTACAAAACACATGGATTTACTACAGAGGTCGCTAAAAATTACTTCACAAGACATAAGTATCAATTGTCATCAGCATCAGCACATGTTTATAACATTAATGCTTCTTAAATTAAGCAATTTAACTCAATTTTTTACTGCACACAGTTTATAGTGGCTGATCGTCTTCCTAATGTTCGGGAAATTATATACAGGAACTTTACTACATAACATGTATTAAATATTCTATAATAAACAAAACTTTCTAATGATTAATAGTTAAGGTTAGTGTTTTACCGATGTTCAAATCTCGTTAACCGATAAGTAACACAAATCAAGATAGCTAACAAAAACTGAGGGAATCTCATGAACTCCAAAATTGCGAGACCCGATGCGTCGACAGGGTACGCGTCTCCTGCTACGCCTGTATCATCCGCCATTCTAGTTCACACTTAGCCAAAATGTCACAATCGGGAATAGAACATAATCGGTAAAATTAAAAATCAGACGACTATACTGGTATCGAAAGATCTTAGATCGTGAAAACATGTCGTAAGTGAGATGAGACACATCGTATCGGTCTACCAATTCGTGATGGTGACCATAAAAATTATGTAGTGTCGATTTCAGTCATTCTTTTTCATAACTCTGTTTTTGTGTAAGGAGCACACCACTGTTAACGAAGTCCGAATAGTGTGAACATGTACGAGCCTTTCGTATCAACTGAGATATGTAAACGCCATACGACGGAGCAGAGGGTATATTACGTATGAGAAATGGGGAAATTGATAATTGGAAAGCTAAAATCATCACGTTTGTCATAGATTCTAGTTTGAAATCTTTCATCTGTGTCAATATCGAGGAAAAGATCAAAGTGTGTATCAGACTTTCTACTTTCAGTTTTATTCTTAATCTCAAGTTCACTAGGATAAATGAGATGTAAGCACTTATTAAAATGTGGGTTATTGAGCGATAGAACAGCATCAAAATATCTGAAAGTTAAATTAGAGAACTTTGCAAGAGGCTTTTTCTTTTGTCTTTAAGAAGGTTGAAATCTGCTTAATATTAGTATAAAAACAGTCGACCAGTAGTGTTACACAATTCGTACACATTGAAATACCGACCGTCTGCTGAAATATCCATCCAACAAACTCAACAAATATGTTGTTGTTCAATCTTTTTTTTTTATAAAATCAGTATAAAAGTTAATCCAAGCATGATTAGAATCATTCATTTGATTTAAGAGGCTAGACCATACTTCGTAAAAGTAAAGCACTTAGGCGCCAAAAGAATGACAACTTACAAGGAGGTAAAGGCGGTACATAATTTGGAAAGCAGGGTCAGCATGTGCTGACTATTACAGGAAGCCATCTAAGGTAGCCACAGCTGCAGGTTGAATACTTTCGTTTCATCTTTTTGTTTGGTCAGCGTGGTGTCCGTCTTTACTAAACAGATGGTGTTAGTATTCTTAGTGTTCTTGAAATAATTTGGAATTAACGGCATATTTTTGTTAGTCGCTGTTAGATTTATTCAAAACTTGTCAAAACACTCGAAGTGATTTAGAACTGAAAACTTGGTATGTTGATCTTAAGATGGCTTTTCACTTTTTTGTGTTGTTTCCATTAATAAAAGGAGAAATGGGATTTACGTCAATGAGACAGAAACTGAACGATACAAAACACTACCATATCATTTACATTTTACTTTATTTATACTTATTTTATTTCCAAATATCTTTGTCTCGACCGAACCCGATTCAATAAAACATGTAAGGTGCATTATAAAATATGTATCATAGTTAAGATTAGGGAATAACAAACGTCATTAGCCATCAGTGTGGTGGTTGATTTAAAAACATACACTGATTTCTAACGTCATTTAAATGTTTAGTCAACCTATGTACATATGAATTTAAAGCAGAAAACCATAAACCATAAACCAAATTACATATAAATTGAAAGCAGAAAAACATAAACGGACATCATGATTCATATCATTTCCATTACTAGAAAAACTCTTACTATTCGCTGATTTCTAACGTCATTTAAATGTTTTATAGGCTAACTGGATCCCTGCATCTTTGAACTGACAAAGTCATTGTGCCTGCTTGACATTTTTGAAACACCTGTCTTTTATTTTATGTACATAATCCAACCCTGTCTAAAGAAATATATTTTCTATCATGTAACACATTTACATAAGCAGCCATAAGGAAATTTCCACCATTGGAATATTCATCCCTTTGCACAACATACTCACAAGTTTTTATGCCCAACAAACGCACAAATGACGTCAAATAACGTCACCCAAAATCAAACACTTTGACGGAAAGATAACGACTGGAATCAAGCGTATTAATAGCTCATTTACTACTTATGAACTTATTATATATACAATAGTCTAATCAGTAATTTGATAAACACCTACTGAAAAATGTTAACAAAGTCAAGCCAGATCAAACAACAGTATTTCTTAATCGTAAAGAAAACACATATAATGATTTACAAGGAAATGATGATTAAAACTTACTGATGCGTTTAACCATTCTCCGAAGGTCAACACACGGTGCAACGAATTTGTTCTTATTTAGAAATATTATCTTGTCAACTTTTTTCTGGCAGAGTCGGTTTTTCAACTTTGATACGTAACTAACAATCTGGAGGACGAAAATACTTCAGTGATGGTAGAGATGTGGTGCAATGACTAAACAAGTGTTAGCCTAAGAACGCTGATCTCGTACATAGCCTACCTCTTTTCGGAGGAATTCCAAATGACAATTACTGTAAACCAACTTATTTTCGTGGATACTTTATTTCACGTTTAGCCCTTTCTAGCCCTCTTCGCGGCGAATTAACTTCGCAATTTTCCAATTTACTTGATTTAGTTAGATTAGGAAAGTTACAAGTTTTAAATTTTGGCGACAATTTTTAATTCGCGTTATTTTTCAACTCGCGAAAGTCGAGAAAATTAGTTGGTTCACAGTAAGCGCAAATTCGAAACGTATTTAAATTTTGATTAATCAAAGACTACTATTTAATTTTCCTAGAGGCGCTCTCAATAAAATTCAATCTTAATTAAATCATCTACATGGCGTAACATGAATAAAACGCATAACTTCAACTTCTTTTCATTCTCCTCAAGACGCCAGTATGAAGTTAGTCTAATACAAACTAAAGAACAAATTAGAGAGAATGGTACACAGTTGGATCATGATGGCCGTTAAAGCTGAATACCCTATACTAACTGATCAATCAAATTCCTGACAAAGTTGACGAAGACACGAATACAATGTGTGGTTATCAGGAAAGAAAATGATCTTTTCTGATACGACATTATATTTAATTTTGAAGCATATTATATAAGAGTCATCTAGAGACAAAAATATAATCGTAGCTTTGATGTTGCCTAGCGGCAATTTAAAGCCTCGATACATATTAGCTGGTATGCCTATTAGCCTGTAATTGGAGGTAAATAGTTAGGTGGACCTGGTATGGAGGTAGCCGAACCTGAAATTTATAAAAAAAAAATAAACTGATCAGAAAAATATTAATGGTACAACAGGATTATTATATAAAGATTTCCTCTAACGTTATCATCAGATAATACAGATGTATATATTAACATTATTAACGTTATCAATTTATCACTAGTGTTCCCCTTGTCAATGTTATTCCAGTGTTACTTTTCTTTTCGATTTATGACTTTTGAACAGCGATATACTACTGTTGCCTTTATTCTGACTCTTATGTTCTGGTATCGTCCTAGTTATTGCTTTTAATTTTGACATTACTTGCATTGTACGTGATTGTTTCTAATATTAATCTCAAATGTAGGATTTGTTTTATAAAACACAACTTGATTTTTAACGAAAGAAATCTCTGTATTACTGAAAAATTATAACACCAGGGTTTTCGATATCACAAACTTGTCAAAACTTTTACTAAATTTTATCATTGGTACAAGGACATCATTCGTAAATATCAATCAACGTGCAGACATCTTATACATTCAGGTATTTCACATATTTCATGGTAATTTCCTCTATGTAAGGAAATGCCTGTACCAATTCAGGAATATGACAGTTTTTTCCATTCGTTTGGTGTGTTTGAGCTTTCGATTTTGCCATTTTATAAGGGACTTTCCGATTTGAATTTTTCTTGGAGTTCGGTATTTTTGTTATCTTACTTACAAAGCACAAAAATGTCGTCATTCACGTCAGAAGCTAACCATACCTTTAAACAGACTTATTCGAATCAAGTCATTAAAGATGGCGTTTTTTGGAATTAATATTGATTCACTGATAAGGTCTTTGCATCGGAAATAAACACATTTATTCTAAAACCAGTTATTGGCATGATACGGGTTATACAAGTTATGTTCTTCTCGTATAATTTATGATGGCATAATACCAAACCCCTAACGGGAAGGATTGTGCCTGATTTTCATATGATGAAGACATAATATTTCGATCAGTTTAATTGAAGTCTGGAGCTGGCATGTCAGTAACTGCTAGTGGTCCTTTGTTATGTTATGTTGATCATTGCCATTTTGCTTAGTTTCTTCTGTTACCTTTTTTTAATATCGGACTTGGACTTCTTTAAAACGGAGTTTTACTGTGCGTATTGCTGTGTGTTTGTTGATTCCACATTGGCTAGAGGTATAGGGGAGGGTTGAGATATCACAAAATATGTTTAACCCCGCCGCATTTTGCGCCTGTCCCAAGTTAGGAACCTATGGCCTTTGTTAGTATTGTGTGTTTTTTTAATGTTGGTTCATTTATATGCTTTGGAATTAAGTGTGGCGTCCATTTCGCTAGAATAGTATACATTATTGTTTAGGGGCCAGCTCAGAGTATGGGATTTCCCGCTGAATTTAAAAAGACCCATTGGTGGCCTTGGGCTGTTTTCTGCTCTTTAGTCGGGTTGTTGTCCCTTTGACACATTCCCCGTTATCATTCTCAATGCAATTAAATGTGGTGCAAAATAACCATTTTTGAGAACATATGTTGTCCCAAACGTTTAATGGTTTCCTGTTGCTCTCTTAAAAGTGTTTTCTAGACAGTTGGTTGTCTTTCTGTGTTGGTAATGTGGTCATGATATTGTTTGTCCTTAAATTCTTAATGTTTTATTTCCTCTTTGATATTTTGAAACTTTTTTCAAATGTTGCAACCATCTTAAGGTGTTTATAGCTTAAAATATTTCCTCATTTTTAAAAAAGATTTAGGAATAACTACCAAAGTCCCAGTTTCTTTTAAACCGATCTTCTGAATTCATTACCAGTTAATACAAATATCGTACCTGGTCTATTGTTTGGTCGAATCTCTATTTCCGTCCACTTTTCTCCTGGTGGACAATATACACCACTATGTCCTTGTATTCCAGCACCTTTCTCTATGGCAACAATATCCACATCTTTCATTGCAGAGCCATGACCAGTCTCATACATTTTTGTACATCCATGCTTATTATCATTACTTTGTTTTGTCTTTGAATGTGTTCGTTCTTGGACCAGAAATTTCTTGCTCCCACTACTAGCTGGTCTTGGAACATCAACACCTTTATAAACCAAAAGACAAAATGATATAGTTTTCGCAATGTTTCATGATGGTAAACAGTTCAATTTCAATCGAAACTATTATTGTTCTTAATGACCAGGGATGATGAGAGCCCATTGTTGTTCCGCAATTCTCATTGTCACGTAATTGGCCTGAAGAGGTCAACGTTTCAAACGATAAGCGTTACACCTTTAAAACCGGGTTTATAAATAGTTCGTTTCTATGTATGTTGCATTAGCGTTTGTTTTTGTTGCACTTCAGTGTTTCTGTTGTTCAGTTGTTTTCCTCTTATAGTTGATGTGTTTCCCTCGGTTTTAGTTTGTAACCCGGATTTGTTTTTTCTCTCAATCGATTTGAGACTTTTGAACAACGGTATACTACTGTTGCCTTTATTTATAAATTTAGACGATATCTGGGTAATACTATAGGCATTTTCCAATTTCCTACTGTATGGTGCCTTATCATTGGATATGACTAATAAATAGGCGTAACGCGATCGGTTTCACTAGGGAAGAATGAACACAGTTAACCCTTCCGAAGCACGTACGCTCAGCCCCAGACTTTTGACGGGGTTCTAGTTGCTTAAAATGTCGAAGAATGACAACGCATTGGCAAAAAAGACAAAATAGAAAATCAACAGTCCACAAAACACTACACAAGAAACTAAAGACTGACCTTATAGAACCTGAACTCAGACGAACCGGAAAGGTGAGCAGTTTCAGCACACGACAAACCGCTGAACTGAGATGAACCGGAAATGTGAGCAGTTTCGACTCACGACAATAAAAAAGTCCGGTGATAGTTCGTATTCGGTAATGCCATAAATAAAGACGGGATTGTGACTATGGCAAACAATAATATCCATCGTTATTTGTGTACCAGATATTCCATAGTGGTCAACCAAATCATGATGGCATACATAAATCGTTATACGAGACGATTTTGATAATATAAATGGTACTAATTTTTTTGCACCAGATGCGCATTTTGACAAGTTATGTCTCTTCAGTGATGCTCGAGGCTTATATACTTTACCTTTATGAACCATTGGTTCAAAAATTTATTTATACCTCTCCCCTATACAGTTATATATATTAGTTTTAGAACATTAAAATGCTAGCATACTAAAATTAGAGATAACAAAGTTGTATTGAGTTTGACTGTCCCTCTGGTATCTTTCGTCCGTCTTTTATGAGAGGCAAAAACATTTATATCCGTAGCTTATAACAAGCGAGTTTTGTGTTTTAAATATATTTCTTAAATCATATTTCAAAATAAACGATGAACTACCATTTCCAAATCTGTCATTTGATTTCAAATTTAATACTTTTCTGGAAACTTAGGTTTTCAATCTCCGCCGTATTTTGAAAGGCAGCAGTAATTGCGGAAAAATGTACTTGTAGATATTATTACAGACTTAGATAAGATGCGGCAAAATGTGTTTGTAAATATTATTATAGACTTAGATAAGAATCAACTTGTATTTTTTCTAATTTTTGGCTTAAATTAAGAGTATTTTTATCATAACACAAACAACCTATTATTTCTTTTCCACCAATACAACTAACTTTAACAATACAGTATTTTTTTTGTTGTGAATATCAAACTGTTGATTTGTCAAACCAACGACAATTGTCATTGTTGTCAAAGCTGTTGGTTATGCTTGTGTATTACACAAATGCTTTCAAATGTATCCATAACGTACACATATTATCTTATAGTACATACATTTATGCTTGAATATTGTTTCCTATTGTATCATTCTATTGATTAACAAAACGTTGGAATCAACTTCCAGATTACAGCATAATTTTGTTAATTTTCAAAGCATAAAAGATGAAGACAAGTTTATCGGTAATCAGATGTTTATTAAGGCGAAACAAAATCCGTATTCCAATATATGAAATTAGTAGCACTTTAAAAAAGGCGAAATGGACATGCTTGTTTAAGGATAGATCAGCCGCTAGAAATTCTCATGTCAACTACGAACCATGCATCTGAGGACCATATGGTGGTGGTGGAGAGGTCGACACCGCAGTGTGGTCTTTTTTCATCTTGTGAAGCAATATAGCAATAACGATTACAGCAATGACCAGTAATGCTCCTACACAACCGAGTATTATGTACAAAGTTGAAGGATTTTCTTCCTCTGGAACTGGGTCTAAAAACAAAAATAAATATCTTACTAATTATTCAAAAACACCAAAAATGTCCTACACCAAAGAGATAGCATATGCATATGAATGTCTTCTCTATTTCACAAAGCACATATACAAATATGTGCCAAACGTATTAATTATGATTAAGAAAATTCTGAAGATTATAATTGAAAGCAAGTTTGAACTAAGATATTTTGACCAAGGTGGCCATATTACTTTACCCCAGTCACCATGGGATTCTACTCTATTTATGACAAACTGTAACGTGTATTAACATAATCAAACTCAATAGATATTTTTGTAATTATTATTAAAGGTGTTCCGTTGAGGTGACATACCTTTATCTACCACCTGATAAGTAAAGGAAGATTTGATGATTTTAAGAGGTCCTCCGTGATGATTAGTGATGGCCAAATTGTTAGACATAATTGCAGCCAGTAGTTTTTCGACGGCTATCTGGAGAGTTGTCTCCGATATGCTTCCATGTTCAACCTTAAACGTTACAATTATACTTCCTGAAAATATAATTAAAATATTAAACAAGGTCTGACCAATGTTAGATAATGTCCTATGTTGAATAAAAAAAAGTAAATAGTATATTAATTCAAATAAGAATATTTTATTACAATTGAACTAAGTATTCAAACATCCGCGACGAAAATTCGGAGTATATGTTTTGCTCCTGTCTGTCAGCCTGTCCGCTTAGATAGTAAAGTGCTTGTTTTTAAGGTAGGAAATGTTTTATTTCATTCTGAAAGCGGTCTTCATATTGTTAGGATTTAGATTTTCTGGACTTTTCACAAGTTTATGGGTAAATGTAAGTTGTTTTATCTAGGTTGTACATGTAGATGGAATACCTTGCAGATCAGCTGTTTTTGTCTGCCGTAAAGGATGATAATGTTACTTAGCATGCCGTCACATCAAATTTTAATTTTATTATATACGTCTAAATATATGACAACTTTACGACAGACGTTCTCCATCGTATGACATGTGGTTATATAGGGCTAACACCATAATTTATATATACTTCGACGAAGTCTTAAGATTGTATTTTTTCCTCATCCGTGCAGTATCACATATTCTAGACTATCAGGTTATACAATATAAAGAACATGTAGAAGTCTATAATAAAAAAAGACCAACCAGCAAATTTAATATGTACTGGATTGTATTGAATTCTAGGCGATACTGTGCAGATAAGGAAAAATTTTTAAAGTCTTAAGATTTGCACAACGATACTTATATAAGACGGTAACATACGAAAAGGATTTTATAATACATATGTTGTATAAATAGTTATAAAATAATATGTAACAGTTAATATGGTTGTGCAATAAATTGTCCAAAATTCATATACTATCGTCACTACATCACATTTCCTTCCTAGAGCGCCTCCCAAAACAAAGGAAAAAGATAAGACTCGGTTTTGGCAGCAGATATCACTTTAAAGTTTATCCCAATCATCTTTTTGGATATAATGAACACTCACAATATGTTGTTAAATATTCTTGAAAATAATCTCATTTTCTTGTGTAAAGTAGAAAGGGTAGAAATATCACTCATATTGAACTAGGCTCCATAATGCTGAATGTGTTTGTAACCACGAACCAACATATACAAATAATGAAAGAAAAACAAATATAATACCCATGACCAATTATAAATGACAAGTTAAATTTACATCATGGCATAATCCAGTAACTTTTAAGAGCATTGACATTCGGGTTTGGATATTCGACTTGGGATTTGAGATTTAAGTAAGATATTTACTTGATTTTGAAGAAAAGAAAAACAATCCCGTGAAAGATGGGTTACTTTACCAGTACCCTCCCTCTGAATATGCTAAGGCATTATATTTTAATATTTTGTATAGATGATTTTATTACTTGTGTATTGTTAACCACGGCATATATCAATGAAATGACATTTGTAATTTTACTGACATGTTAAGAGTATAACCTCCACGATATGATAATATCCCATCGGTGTGAAAGATGGGGTGATATGTTTGTATCCTTATAATTTTCGTAATCCGCTATTTGATAGTCAGAGTCGGATGTTTTTATTCGTTCCGCTGAAGAAATCCTCACAAGTGTTACATTTCTATCCCTTTATTACACAAACACGCATTCAATTAATTTTATTTTCTCAGAAACCATGATAGCACATACCATTGCCCGTCAACTGCGTCCATTCACTTGCAACATACAATTGTTGTTTTGTTTGTATCTTTCGGCCAATGAAATGGGACGTTACAATTTGTTTGCTTGTGATACGTAATAATGTTATTTCTGAATGACCAAACGCTAAGCTTTACTGCAGTTCAGTGTACATATTATTTTGGTCTTTTATTTTTTTAGATTCGAGCGTCACTAATGAGTCTTTTGTAAACGAAACACGCATCTGATGTACAAAATTGTAATCCTAGTTAATCGTCAGAATGATTCTATTTATCATTTATGGACGTATCAAGTATCCCCCTTCCCTTCGGGTATATCATAAAGTTTTGCTAAAAGCGGAACATCATACGTTTCTTACAGACACAGGATACTCCCAGAGAAAACTACAAATTTCTTTTGTTTCATTATCCTTCAGTACCCAATGGGTTTAAACGTCATATATTTGTCGAGATTGTTTTTTTTGTATCTCTCGCTGCTATTCAAACATATACACTCGACATTTTCAGATAGAAAATCTGTAAAATGAAAATAATACTTTTTTAAAATTACCAAACTGTCGATTTTTCGGATTTCTTGACATGTTCTGGTCCAAAGACTTAACAGTTGTCGCGAGATTTATATTATGATTGTTTGATGCAAAGTAGTAAATGCTTAAACCGGGTGTCACTTTTCAGAGTTCATGAGGTTTCCAATTTTGGTACACGATATTCACCTAGATAAAAAAAATATTTCCAAACTAGTAAAGGTACCTGATTCTACGCTTAAATATGTTATCCTCTTAACCTTAACATGCATGGTGTCAGCAAGTTTTTGCTTGATTTCATTTCTAAATTGCAAATGATCAACAATAATGGCATAGTCTGTATCAATGGTAAACGACACTTGAACCGCTTCTGCTGACGATGGAATCGATATAATTGTTTCTGTTGTTTCTGCAAGATACAATGAAAATTGAAGCAAGAGTTGAATTTCATATAACATATTTTTAACAATATTACTGAGAACACCAATGCAACATCTAATTCTGTATTTCTATTTTTTTTTTGTGTTTCTTACTACAATGTTAAACATTTAAGTATAATTTCTACAAGAACCAATTGAAAGTGAAAAAAAAGATTTCAGAACCGTCTAAAGTAATTTGAGGTATTTCAATAATTTTGTTAGAAAAACGGCAATATAATTTTAATGCTCAGCCATTTTGTTTCCCTACCCATGTCCACATAAATTGTCTCCGTTTCCAATGAACTTTCAGTTGTGAAGGAAATGATGGTATCAATTGTGGGTGGACCTTCAAATATTCTGTAAAAAGTAATTAAATAGAGCAATTTAATATTATTATTTAAGAAAATAATAAAATCTTCCAGTCAAAATGCAAACTCTTCAAATAACATGTGTTACCATTTGGACTCAATAGATAGATACAATATTATTTCTGCAGCTACACAAGTTTGAATAATATTGTCAGCTTTTTCTTAGATATCTTATTGATCAAATGTAAAATAAGTTGAATTATATTAACTGTAATGTTGCAAATTAACTGTTACAAAGCTTTAAATTGTTCGAAATACTAAGGATTTTCTACCACAGGAGATATAACCTCAGCTGTATTTGGCAAAACTTTTTGGAATTTTTGGCCCTTATGCTCTTCAACTTCGTACATAATTTGTCCTTTTTACATTTATGACTCGCGCGTCACAAATGACTCTATTGTAGATGAAACGCGCATCATGTGTACAAAATTATATTCTGGTATCTTTGACGAATGTGTTGTAGGAAACCACTGGGTCGATGCCACTGCTGGTGGAGGTTTCCTCACCGAAGGTATCACCAGCCAAGTAGTCAGAATTTTTGTGTTGACATGAATTGTCATTAATATTGTCACATTTATGAATTGAATGTTTACAAAACTTTAAATTGTTCGAAATACTAAGGATTTTCTAACCGAGGAATAGATTACCTTAGCAATATTTGGTAACACTTTTCGGAATTTTTGGTCCTCAATTCTCTTCAACTTCGTACTTTGTTTTTCCTTTTTTTCGAGTGACACTGATGAGTCTTATGTAGACAAAACGCGTGTCTGGCTCACAAAATTATAAGCCTGGTATCTTAAATGAGATTTTTGTACTTTATTGTTTATTGATTTTTATTTTTCATCATTTCAAGTTCCAAATCAGGAAAAACTTTTTGAAGTAGAAGTTTAAGGAATTTAGTAATGTATCTCCCTAATGATAGCTTTGATTCTTTGTCCGTGTTTGGCAATGATATTGGTCCTTTTCAATCATATCAGCTTGTCAACGTTTGTATAAGGTTTTTATAAATTTTCAAATGTTTTGGCCTCAAGTATCACTGAAAACACATTAATTGTCAAAATATGCATCTGATATAGTAAAATTGGTACCGCTTAATGTAGTTATATATTTTATAGACTGAAATCATTATTTCTATATCCAGATATCAATTTATTTTTAAATCAAGACAAATTTGGGTTAAAGTAAAAAAAAAAATATCATTTCTATACAATAGAAATATTGTTGTTTTGTGTTTTTTTTGTTGCTGTTGTTTATAGTGAGGCGGTGTAAGTGTTGTTGTTGTTTGATTGCGTCATTTTGACTGCAAACTTTTAAGTAACTTTATTTAGTTGAATAGAAATGTTCTTACGCAACATAGCCCATAGTATTACATGAGCAAGTGACAGCTTGAAGTGAATACATCATATGTGGAGAACTCGCTGTACAGGTGTCGTTCGTCCAGCTGTCATGGTTCCAAAATAAGCACTGAAAAGACGAATGATTTTTACTTTAAGTGTCTTAAATACATATATTGCATTTATAACAACTATCCTCCTTCGCATGATTTTACCCATTTTACTGTGGATTCATTATTATTCGTTTAATTCCAATTTTCCTGGATTTGATGGGTTAAAGTAAAGCAGAAATTCATTGTTCAACGAAGCACAAATTTACTTTAGGATGTATGCATACTTTGACAAAACCAGAAAATCAAATATTAACGAAAATACAATTTTTCCACAATCCACGAAAATTTATATCCACGAAATTAAATGAATCCACACTAATTGTGTTTTCATTCCAGAAATTGGAAACAATGACACAAATTGTTTACATACAGTTTACATAACCTGAATTAAAATCAAATGATGCCTTCAATATAACGAAAAATCTTGCACTTCACTGCAAGTTCAAAACGGCCAATTTTATCGGTTTGAGCTGAATAGTATGCAGGATGTCTATCATGAAAATTCACAAACAATTGTGTGAAAGTGTACAGTTGATCTAAGATGATAACTTATGATAAAGGAAAGAATCCATGTCAATACTAATGCCAAATACGATAGAAAAGTATTAAGTTCTAAACTTCATTAATTATCGAGTTCATTATTAAATGCTTAAAGAAGATTTGAATTCTTGACAACAAATTATATGAAAATGTACAAACAAAATACTAAAAGATCAAAGATAATAACATTCTTTTTAAAAAGCAATGCACACATCATTCTTTCTACTAACAAAAAACTGTAGAAACTGCAATACCTGCAAACTATGAGCTGTAGTATTTACATCACCTTCCACTGTGATGGTTATTGTTATCGGTGTTTGTAGGTTTCCAACAGTCAATAAGGAATTTTCGACAGGATTTACAATTTTTAGAATCATAATGTCGCTTCGGCGAACTCGGTTGGTTAAACTCATTTCGGAAGGGGATGTTGGTGTTACTAAATCCTTTGTCAGTTGTGCAGTGACGAAGCATGCTCCATAACAACTCAAATAAGCTGAACAATTCCAATTCATGTATTTATTCTGGATTGATGTCCCGTATGTCACCTGCATAAAAAATAAAATATCATTTTCATATCAAATTATAGACAGATTTATTAAGTCTATAAATAGTTTGATGTATCATGGGGCATTACGAAGGCGCCATTAAGTGTATATATCTCTGTTTGCCATGACTCACATGTTTACTTTCTTCTATTTGTTATACCTTTATCAATTAAAAGCGAAACCTGTTAACAGAGATATGTGTCACCATGTGTTACCTTTGTCAGAAACTATAACAATTGGTTATGCTGCTGACTCCGGAAACAGCACGCCTTAGTATGGCGTCCGTATCCTAGCAGGCGATAACAAGTGTTATTTGCTGTCAGTCCATGAATTTTATGATCTCTATTGTATTATGACGTGAGGATTTCAGTTTCCCCATTGTCAACTTCACATTTCTCAGTAGTAACAAACCCTCTTTCCCATTGTATGGTGTTTAGATATCTCACACGATACGTTACGTGTGTGCATGTTCACATAACACGGATGTATTAATAGAGGAGTGATTATAATGCATAAATCTGCTCTTGCATGGTTATGAGGAAGAAAGACTTAAATTTAAAAACTAAATTAGTTTTATAACAACCATGATGAATTGGTTGACTTATAAGATTAGTCTGTTTTTCAATTCACAAGAAACATTTTCGCGGTCTTTGATGTAGTATTAATATTCATAATAGTAGTCAGATTTGTAAATTTAGCGATTGTGTCATATTCCTTATTCAAACATCTTGAGTCTGGATTTGCTAGGTGTGTGACTCACGCATATCATGAGACACCGCTTGTTATTGTCAACACATCCGATGTCTCTTCTTATTGGAGTTCATGCGATTCCCGCAGTTGGTTTCACTTAGTTTATATATACAAATGTATATTTAAAATGAATTTAAAAGATTTGAGCATCCGTGAACAATTAGTACTTTTATTTTTTGAAATGTCTTACATCAAATTGAAGTCGGGATTGAACTTGTCATACAAAGGTGTACCCAGACATGTAACTGGGATATGTTTGTTCCAGCTGATATTTAAATATGTATGGTAAGGAAACTGGCATTAATATTTCATATATCAAAAAGTATTATATCAATAGGTTCTGATTTCTTAATCATTAGCTGATTCTCTTTTTCATTATAATTAAGCTTAAGATTTTCAGTTCAAAATATAAATACATGTAATCATTTATTTAAAACAGCAATTCTTTTATTAAGATTGTATATATAACATAAACGTAGTAAACCGATGTGAAATTTATAAATATACTAGTAAGTCCTGAACAGAAAATCATGGTAGTGAAATAATTGGATCACTAGAACTAACGGAGTAAGAACAGGTTCGTCGATAATGTTATAATATCATGCTATATAATTTTAGGTTTCATAACGAGTGAGAATTGGATATCGCGAGTTATTTAAATTCAATATAATAATAAACGAGCCTTCAGCGAGTTTGTTATTAGATGTACTATTTAAATTAAATAGTACATTAGTTGATATCAAGCGATTTCCAATTCTCTCGAATTGTTCAACCTATTTCTCTTACAGTCAACACTCTCATTGCGTTAAATAAAAAAAAATCCGCTAATCGTTGATACAGTGTTTTGCACATTCCAGTATGTCGTCATAATTCCTACTTTGGCGTAAAACTTTACCATCAGACATTTTAAAACTTTTTGTACGCTTCAGAATGTAATAAAATTTGACAAAAAGAAGGTTGTCAGGTGAAAAGTGTGAGTGTTTTGTATATTATTGAAAAAATCACAAATGTCAGTTGCCATGGACGAAATGTACATCGTCGTAACCTTTGAAAGATACCAATGACCTAACGAGTAGCCAATGGAAATGTCGTAATATCGTCTCATGATTCTGAATAAGCCAATCAAACTAACGCAGTTTTCGTATCACTTTTTCGTATTACACTCCGTGCAGTGTGATACGAGAAATGTCTCTTCATGCAAGAAATATATATCAGGCCACAACCATAAGAGAATATATGCATCATCGTCATACGAGTCGACATACTATCTAGTAGCATGTGTAAAAATAAGAAATATGACATTCAGGTATTAAAGTCAGATGACACGGCTATCAGAATTAAAATTTCACCAGTAAGTTCAGGAGAAACTGAGACAAAAAAACGATCAACCAATCTGTGATTGCGACCATAGACTTGTAAAACGTTGTTTCAGATTTTCTTCCTGATAATTTTCCAGTTACGAGTTTGCGTTTTGTATGTCTGTTTGTGAATTAATAAGCCTTTTTATGGAAATAAAATGGTATATATATTTGTGTATTTTTCATGAATATGATGTGTGCCAAAATGTTGGCCTAGTTTTCCAAATAACCCAACAGCGCAGCTGAGAACAATATTATGGCCTTGACCATGTTTGAAGAAGTTTATCACAGAAACCTGTATCGTGCCCACCAAAATTGGTATCAATCGATTTTAATATGAATATTAATTGACATTTATCAACACGTTATCTTTTCAAAAAAGTAGATTAATAATTTTCACCTCAGCAGGATATGCAATAAAAGATGTGCAGTTGTTGCATGTAACATCGTAAACTATAGACGCAGTATTCTGTGCAACTCTTTTGTCGATGTTAACTGTCGTCAATTCTGAAGATATAACTACGGGATCCTCGGCATAAGACACCGTTGCACACAAGCCTATGAACATATTGTCTAAAGCTTGCAGATAATTTGTAGCGGAATTGGTCGATATACTGTCTTCCGACTGTTGTGAAAATGTGGCACTATAAGTTGTCAATAGTACTGCAGCCTATAATACAAGAAGGTTAAGATTTACAATTTTCGCATGCGTTTTAGTGATACATTCATTTGCTTTAAATTAAAAAAATCTTAGATACCATTCATGGAGAATTTTTCGCATTGGTTTATTTTCTCGATTTGATAGATAAAAAAAGATAAATAGACCAAAACCAATTTTTGCTTGGTTTATTTTTGCTATCTGAAAAAAAAGAAGTTGACGATATCTAGCAGACATGCACAAGTCGAAAGAAAACCGACATCGCCAATGCCAAAAACAAAAAAAAAAACCCCGAAAGGCGACGAAAAAACAAAAGAAGTTCCCCTATCACTTGCACTATAAAAGGTAATTTTTTATTTTAGGAAATTTAGTTAATTTGTGCATTCGCGTGCATAGCAAAAATTAGACACATACGAGATAATACGGTATTGTCTATTTTTTTTAATCAATAAACAATCTTCTGAACCATTATCCTGGCAGTTATTTGTGCACTGGAATCTATGATCACAGTTCTTTATAGTTTGCTATAAGTATACATTTTTTCTCATTGTTGAAAACTGTCCTCATACTTTGGTCTCTGTTAGATAGTTGTCTCCTTTGAAATCTACCGTATCTCCTTATTTTCATATGTATATCATATTGGGTATGTTATCGTTCTCGCAAAATAACAAACACCAATAATACTCTTTCAACACACAAGAAAGGTCATAATTGAATAAAAAGATAGTTAAATAAGAAGATATTTAAATAAATTTCATAACATTGACGTGTTACCAACTACCATTTACGCCATGCCAGAAACTACATTATTAAAGACGAAGGTTGGTTGAATATGTTTGGTACGTTTGATCTTCCCGCTTTAAATGTTTGAAACATGTCTTTTAGCACACCTTAAGTTTGCCTAAAATGAACCTTCGCACTGCTCAATGTAAAAAAGGACATCAGTCTTGGGTCTCTTATTTGTTAAACAAATAAACAAAATTGTTAATTTTAAGTGTTAACTACCACTTCTATTCATACACGCCTTATAAAAATCTAATTTACATTTGGAAAACCTTTCGGAATTTTGGAGCTTCAGTGCCCTCCAATTTCGTATTTTTTTGGCCTTTTAAACTCTGATGAGATTTTATAGATGGAACGCGCGTCTGGCGTACAAAACTTTAATCCTGGTATCTATGATGAGTTTATTTACTATTAAAATGAAAGCAGACCAAAATAAAGAGTGGATTTAAGATTAATCATTGAATTTTAGATTGTGAACAATTTGGTGATTTAATGATTCGACCAAATAAAAACATGGTTGTTTCAGGAACAAATATTCATATATTTATTGAAATTAACATCTTTGTCAGCATTAGTGCATTTTTATATAGTAACTTACATCACTTATTGATAACGGAGTAACGGTCACTGTAGTGGACCTCTTCTTTCGCCTTCTAGATTCTGAAAAAAAAATGAATACAAGATTATATAAAATTTGCCCTTATGTACTTTGGATGAATTTGGGTGCTGTATTTTGACACTTAATTGTTTTTTGGCTTCCAAATTTTTACGCATTAGGTTTCGCGAGGAAATTTTACTTTTTAGCATCAGAATTGCTTCATACAAATTTGTGCTCTAACAAATATAACCCACATTAGAATAAATTTTCACAATGTTTGATACTAAGTAATACTGCTGCTGACTTAATTATCATTTGTTTCTTCTTGAATTAACTTTGCCACTTGTAAAATTATTGTCAACTTAGTCATTCAAAGTATCCAAACAATATTGCTACAGATGATCAAAATAACCGACAAAGGTCTTAACATAAAGAAAGAATGATAAGTTAATTCATTTTTTTTTCTATTTTTAAGAAACCGATACATTCAGGTTGTTTATTTATCAAATAAGTGGTCTGTTTGTTATAGATGTATTGGATATATTTGTCAGTCCTTACTTTGTTTGCTTAATATAATAAATTTTGAAATAGAATTTATTTTATGTAGGCTGTTTGAAACCTTATTATGACAACCAGCATGCAAATACGTACGGTCTGCTCCTATGGTGACATATGAAGCTAAATCAGAAGCTAATGACTGACTCTCAGTGATCACTGTCTGGGCCAACCCACCACTGTCAGCCAGTCGCTGTAGCATGTTATTAGCAGAATCTAACACTGATGTAGCGTCAGCTGGGTCAATTCTGAAAAGTAAAAGGTAGGCAACAGATGTCATTTTCAGAATAAATATTTTATGAAAGCATAATAGAGAAGGTAGCGAGCAATTTTAAACCTTTTTTGAAAATAACAAATTAAAAAAAAAACAAAGACTAATCCCAAATTTTAATTATAGAATTCCTCAAAATTATAATTATTTAGAGAAATTTAAACAAATGAAGAATTATGACTTTGGGATGAAGAACAGGAGTTAATGCGCTTTTCCTCTGCTTGCGTTTTTTCAAGTTTCTGTAGGCAATTTATCCCTTTTTTCCATTATTCAAATTTTTTGCGTATTAAATTGATATGACGTATGAAAAAGGCTACAATTTCCTTAATGAAAATTGTCCTCCGAAATAAATTTAGATGTTCTAATAAGGTACTTTCAGTTTTAATGCTCTTACATATTTGATGTTTTACGCTTCTTAAACTTTTGGCATCGAGGATACCTGATGACAGTAATGTGTCGTGTTAGAATAGTTTTTTACATTTACAATACGATCGGATCCATATTCCCCCAATTTGTTTTTTAACGTAAAGATTCACTAGTTCGGCATGTACATCATGCCGTTTATTATACATACGCTGCAACAACAGAAATCAGAAGATTGGTAGCTACTTCGTTAATAACAAGTGAAACAGAATCAGTGCTGTTCTGGTCATCAGACACAAGGAGACTGGAAATTGACATAGCCATTCCAATAGCTGCATTCATGTCTGAAAATATTGCATTTGTTTACTAGCTTACGATGATAAACATGTCTATAACTTGACCTTACACATTTACGGAAATTAAACACAGCGTGTCAAGGAAACTTGTTTATTTTTTAAGGAATCTTTGATAAGATCATTCATGTGTGTTCTACAATTTCAAAAGGAGCAACTCAGTTAATCAAATATAATGCTTTAAATAGGCTAAAATTGAAACACTTATTTTGAGACATATCTTCACAAGGAAAATTTTAAACTTAATTTACACCAGCTAGATCGACAACCTGTACACCTTTGTAGAAATATTTTGGACCCGGTATATACCCTTATCAATACTCTCCAGAATAAAAGTTTTTTTCGGAATAAGTTATTTTTATTGAGGAATCTAATCAAATACCATGTAGTTTACGTGTCATATCCTGTTTTAAATTTGTACATGTTACCTGTTTTAAGAGTTGCTGTTATTGACGCAGCAGCTTCATCAAGTTCTGCTTCTGTAAAAGTCTTATCTAACACAGTAATAGCGGCCTCCATATTTACATTGGAACATGCTCCATATGTATCACATAGTTCAACAATGACGTCATAAACACCTAGAAAATAGCTTAACTTGATAGTTATTGTAGCGTATTTTAAACTACTTACCTAGCAAAGACAAAGAAACACATTTAGTTCTTCATTGTAGGGAGAAAACTCTGATCATTAAAGTGTCTTATCAAATGGTTCATACGTTCGTAACAAAATATTAATATGTATATATACAGTTGTGTTTTGTCCCTTTTTTATTGTTCTCTTTAGGGAGTGTGTGTGTTTTTTTTGAGGGGGGTATTCATTTCATTAATAAAGTCACATAATGATCTATGCATTGTGATGTTAGGCAGTATTACTTGATTTTGCAATACAAAAGACAACTTCTGTGTCTTGTTCATTTACAAAGTATACTATTTTCTAATATCAGTTCTAAAGTATACTCGAACGTCTTTGTCTTGACGTCACTCTTATCGACTAAAGTAGTACATTTTAAAATACCAATGGATTTTCTTTGCATATATAATTTAACTTGTTTATTTACGTTTATTGAATCTCATTCAAATTTGCTATAATGTATTTTTTGTACCTATTTCAGTTGGAGATTGACTAATTTGCTACAATGTATTTTTTGTACCTATTTCAGTTGGAGATTGACTAATTTTCTAAAAGGTTCGCAAATTAACCAGACTTATTCTCCAAATTACAATATTTATATATTAGTGAAAGCATCACCGATTATCGTAGCAAACAAGCACGGTTGCCACAATAATCCGGTAATTGAATATTCTGATTTGGGTTTCTATTTATTTATAAAAACTGAACAAAGACTTACAAAAGCATTTTTAATTACTGCATTTCTATACAGATAAAGATACCTTCTGTCAATTTAAATATATAGCTGTACACGTCAGATAGACCCCTTGCATTCAGACGTATTCTGTTTAGGCTAGCCTCCTTCACAGAAAAAAAGAACACCGTACTATCTCCGTCTATATCAGTCCAACCATCGCCTACATCTATAGTGAAATCCGTGGTCAGTGATGTTCCATTAGATGGGGTTATCTGCCAATATTAACGGAAAATAACTTTAACGTTTCCAAAAAGGTAAGTTGTGCTTTGTGGTATCACGAATTATGTCAGCTATTTTGTTTTTGTTTGGTGTTTTGAAGGAAAAAGAGTTTTATTTATTTTTTTTTATTTCATATGCATTTATTGTTTTGAAATTTTTCTTTTTTTGTTTCAGTAAAACTATTGTAAGTTATATGACACAAAGTGTGAAAACAAATTATTCACAGACCTAAGGGGTTCTGTTCGCATTTCCTTGGTTAGACTAGACCGACATATGAAACCGTTAATTTTGAAATATTTAACTCTTTCTAATTAAATAATTTTTTCAAGTAAAAGTGATACTACCTACTTCATCGTCAGCTAAAGTATACAGAGAGAGTTACATTCAAACTAATGCTTTAAATTAGCTGTGTTCCGAGGGTTACCAATATATTATTGACGTTATTTACTTGTGCGTTGACATTTGTTTTACTTTACTTCTTTAGTGCACGTTCTAGACCCACATTCAAAATGTATACTAATGTATATTATAATAGACTTAACATTACTTATATATAGCATAAACATATCTTATATTTACATGTAACTGAGTAAAGTTACCAGCTAACAGAGCTATTGATATATCATCGAATATTAGGTATAACTACTGTTGATATTTAATTAAACATACATAGAAAATAATGTGAATAAAACGAACAAAATTGTGGTTATGACAATTGGAACATATCCGTGGTCATCGATTTAAAAGACTTTCCATAACGGTCAACCAACTCGTGATGGTGTCCGAAATTTTTTCGAAAGGATGATTTCAACTTAACCACTTGGAACTCTTGAAAGGAGGTGAACATCCAAAGTTCACTGTATGACCTCCAACCAACTGAAGATTTTAGACCAAAAATGGATTATGGTCAACCAATGTGACCTTGTATATATAATCCCCCATTTTGACAAATGTATGAGCGCATAATTGTGACCATGAACATGTAAAGATATTAATGAATACATCGGTCTTCATAAATCACACCAATCTAATAAAGCATGTAAGATCAACTACTGTTACCATTCAGTCAAATATACATAGTGAAAGTTGACTGATTATACATGCAAGGTAACAGTGTTAGCACGATAAAATAAATCGTGAATGTATGGCTGGATATATTTCAAATAGATTGTTTCTCAAAAGTGTATGTCCATAGCCGTCAGTTCCATGAGAGTAAATCACTATCATGTCAAAGGTTCACATATAATTTATTTTTTTCACTTATCAATACGACCAATGTCGCATGTGAACCAGAATATATCAACCAGTCCATGGGACTTGATAACTCTCCCGGTTACGATGATAATTTATATGCCAAAAATATTACTTTTGAAAATGAAGACACACCTTATAATTTGGGTGCGTTTCATCGTTCTATCTTAAAATGTGTGGTTTTTGTTTGTATCTAGTTTGTTACTTTTAGTTTCTGTTTTTCTTGTTTTGATTCTCATATTTTGACCAAGCTGTTTATGTCTATCTAATAGATGGACAATGGCCGAAAAAACTTTGAAACTCAAGAAAATGTAAAAAAACTATATACAATTAGAAATAACTAAGATGTTGTAATGATATACGCTTATAAAAAAATGAAAACAACACGTTATAATTTTTTGGCGTCCGGAGCGCATTTCTGGATTTACCTTCATCAGGAACACTCAAAGCCAAATATTTGAAAGCCGAGGATGTATAAGAACCAAAACAGTTGAAGAGCTATATGACAAAAAAGTACATGAAAAATAGCAAAATCCATCTAAGGTCAACTTTGCCTGAGAGAGTTGAAACCTCAGTTTCTTTATAATTTCAAAATTTATAAACGAACAATTTTAGAAATGTTTGTTATAAATCATGTCAGTACTGACTACTGAGCTGATGTTACCCTCGGGGACTAATAGTCCACCAGCAGAAGTATCGAAACTTTATGTTTTGAACATAAAAAAAAGAAATTTATAACACTTTTTTGACATTCTAAAACTTGCAATTTTCAAAAAACTATTATTAGAAAAAGTAACAAACAATAACAAGCATATTACCCCAAAATAGTAAATGACAATAAAATTATTTAGTAACAAAACTTTTAAGGCTTTAGTTTAACATTCCTAGATTTCGCGACAGTGTTTAAGAGAAAACACACATAGTCAAGGGAAACCATGGATGTTTGGCGAAAATTAACAAACTGTACTACAGATAAGACAAATCAAATTTATCTATTTATTTTGAAAATGTATTTAGCAAACTCAACCCAACACTGTTACGCTGACAGATTACAAAATATGTAATAATAAATGTGAATATTTAAGCTCCCATTTAATCGAGGTTCTTCAAATCCCGTAGTTCATACTTTTGATCAGGATATTACAAAACATTCTACTTACCCGGACATCGCCAGTTGTTGGGGGAGAATTAACTGTAACATGAACCCTCTGTTCACTACTCTGTTCATTATCTAGTGCAAACGCCGACACAACAAATACAAATGTAGCTCCTGCTGGTAACGTAGCAATACCAGACAAGTCAAGGAACAAGGAAAAGTCCTTGTTTGTCACTGATACTGTTGATTCTTGAAGTATTGACTCAGCAGGTAGTATAGTCGAAAGATCGATTGAATCAAAACCTTAAACAGGACACACAACTAATTATTCCGTTGGCATTTTTACATCATGATTGTAGGTAATTGTACAATAAAAAACCTAATTAAGTAGTTTGTTGGTTTAAAAAAAAAAAACTGGGGAAGCAGTAAAATGTTATAGCAAGTCTTTAGATTAAAATAGTCAATTCAAATGTCTTTAGAAATTGGCAACTCTCTCTCTCTCTCTCTCTCTCAAAATGAAAAAAATAAAAAGATTAAAGATGCAGAAAAATAGAAGAATTCAATTAAAAAAAAAGATAATATTTGTGATTGTAACGAGCAAAACAGGATCCGATGCTGTTGGTATAAATATATAAATATAAATTGTAATGATAAAGGCAAACAAATCTATTGTCACCAGTTAACAAATATAAAAGGAAAACATCTGACATAAATACTGGAAACGTCGATACAAGTTCAAAATTTTTGAGATAATCACATTGCACTTTAAAGCTCTGGGATCTTAAGATGAATAAGGGAAATTGTCTTACCATTATCGGACGATGTAGACCACATCATCATAACTGGACCATAAGAGGTAACTGTACATGGTATTCTAAGTTTATCTCCAGGGTTAACTATGATGTTAGTGAGTTGTAAAACTAAAGATGGTGGCAAGACATTGACAATTTCTACAGTGGTAGTGTAATTACCCGTACGTTGACCGACCGTCATTGTAACTGTCCACATCATTCTGCAAAGATTTAAACCTTGGTATTTTTCATATCGAAATATCAAAATTATTTATTTTAGAACAGACGCCATCTTATCATCCATCGAGATGACCTCAGAAGACTGCCTACGGTCATATAACCCGATATGAACAAAATATAGATATAAATATATAGTGAGCACGTGCAATCGGATTTTCAAGTTCTGTTTGATTTCATGATATATGTTAAAATATGTAAATCATCGTTTTACCTGTAAAAGAATGTTTTTTTGTCGGCTGTACAAGTCTACGAAATGTTTATTCGTGCTGGCTCCCTTGTTTCACTTTTCAATGTTGACATTCTTTTCTTTTTAAAGAATGAACCACATGATGAACACAAGCGCACCCATCTCCTCTAAATGTCAAATTAAATGGTTTGAATACGGATTCAAATTAGTTGAATTAATGACGTACAAGTCAATAATAAATCAGTGATTTTTGTTTCGCTTATTTTGACGAAATTGAACCAAACTGACTCCTAATATCGAGATATTATTTCTCTATTCCGCTTTTATAAACGTTTGAAACAAAACAAAAACAAAATTATTTTTTTGTCGAATTCGTAGCTAATCCCACTTTTAATAAGCTGTACAAATATTAGAATAGGTATCATCTCTTCGAAACAATAACTGAATGTACTAAGTTATTAAATCAAGGCGTTTGATAACACAAATTTTATCAAGTCGGATAGAAATCGACCTTATGCAAATGAATATCAATACATCTGTTAACCTTTTTGGTGTTGAAAAAATCTCTATGCAAAGTCCTTAACTGTTTGAAAATTGAGTTGTTATCAGAACCATACAAAACGGACCAAAATTCATCTTTTGATTCGTATTTGAATGTTTCAAAATCAATCAAAGTCTTATACATGTACACGAATACGTGCACTTGCATATGGTCGATTTCTATCAGATGCAGCTTAAAATTTTGCTTACTTGTCACCAACAGATAAAGTATTGACTGGGATGACAATCCTCTCACTGAATGTAAATACTGTGGACATTTGAACAGTTTCATTTCCATGTAGTATAAAACATGGAAAGTCATTTTCCTACAATACCAAATTGACAGTAACACAATTTTTTTTAAATATAACAAATCTAGCGCACTAAAATTTACTTCGTTAAGTTGTAACTTTTACTTTTAATTAAATCAAGTATAACACAATAAATTTGTCTTGACATTTGGAAAAAAATATCAAAACTTTTCAACACGGAAAAGGTACACACTTTTAAGTCACTTAAGCAAAAGGGGTGATTGATGTTAGACAGGTGAATACTATTGCGTCGTTAATAGTCCTTACTTTCATGTGTCTTGAAAAGTTCTCAGACCAAGTAAAAGAATTAGAGACGTGCCATATTGATTGAATATCTCTATGATGAATTATTCTTGCTTTATCTGTTTTAGGAGCATTGGAGGAATTAAGCTATGGTAAAAGGGAAGGTATGATAAGAGCTATCATTTGAATTGATTCATGAGATTTGAGCATCGGTAAACTACTGTTGCCTTTATAATACAAAATTCACAAATAGAATTATTAATATCTAATGGACTAATGTCTTATGGACATCTGAAGCATGTTATTTCATATATTTATGATACCCTTCGATATCGAATTTAAGGAACAAAAAAAAAACAGCCTTATAAATTCTTCTTTTTTTCTTTTTTCCTTTTTTTATCATACAAGGATGTTTATTCAATGTCTTTTTATCAGATGAAATTTAAATAGTTATGGAGGCTATTTTCAATTAGCTAAACTTGCATATTTGCATGTCCAAGTAAAAAACATGGGTAAGTTCTGTCTATCAGGATCCTGTGAAATACCAGCATCTAGTACTACTTCCTGGTCAGGAGCGAATACAATGAAATCACCGCCATCGATGGTTACAACCAATGGTTTACTAATTGTGTGGAATGTTACTAAATCAACTGCTGCTGCTGAAGGATCGTCTTCAAAGAATGCTGAAGAAGCAAAATGTTATTATTTCATTGATATCTCTCTGTGGTAGCAGTTGTTGTGACGTTGGAATATGTTGAAATGGTTTCATTACGTCCTTTTGGTATACAAAATGGGAGAGTGAATAGTTGCATGAATGCAGTAATGTGATGAATATTTTAAAGATCCTTTTATTAGGACCAAAAAAATAATTGGTTGGATTTTCTTTGTCTTAATTGAATTAGTCATTTATAGAACTTGTTTTCCTACAATAAAAAGTCTCATAATATTTTTAAGATAATACTCCATCTTTTCTTACGTTGGTTTATATTGGATAGATATATGCATTGTACGGATTTTTCTTGTCTTTTATCATCTGTAATAATCAAATTTTCTTGATCTTATATCGGTTGGAAGTGAATATTTCAAATAGAAATTTCAGTTAACGCGTCAAAACCGAAGATGCCAAATGATAATGTCAACGCCGTGTTCCTTTGATACATGTTTATATGTAGTATTTGCACTATCTCCTGCTAGACTTACCCTGTCGAATTTTGTATATAAATACGAGGATGTAATACATAAAAAGGATAACAGGCTATAAAAGTTAATGAAAGATCAAAAGTTTTTTTTAAGTGATAAAAAATCTACCATTAATTGTAACTGTGTACATGCTTCCACCTCGCAATGTGTTCGGTCTTACAGCTGCTATTGGCTTGTCATTAAATACTGACAAACTAAAATCTGACGTTCCACTTTGCCAACTAAATTTAACGATTCCCTTAAAAAAAAAGAAAATGGTATAACAGCTATAGTAGGAAGAATCAATGTATTCATAATAAAGTTTATAAGTGGATATATTTCTAATTTGCATAATAACAACAAGACATTCGTTTTTTTAGAAGGTTGATTAATTATATGCTCTGTGATTGATTAATTGATTGAGTTTGCTTAACGTCCAGTAGGAAATACCATTTGGATATTCAGGTAGGAACAAATTAAACAATAAAGCGAACAGAAAAAGGGACTGTCACTGAAATAAGGATATGTTGAGCAGTTAACGAAATTCGTCTTTTCATTTGATCTACTATTGACCCCTTAACGATTTATGGTAAGCGCCTTATTACTTGCTGAAATCGCGACACTCTCCTTAAACGTGGAATTTCATATAATATCCCCATTTCAGCCAAAGGTGGATGCGTATATATACAACTGCAAAATCAAACGTACGCCCCATTAGCACGAATCTTACTGCCGAACAAAATAAGTGCAGGTAAAAATATTGTAAATGGTGATACATTTTTTTAATCAAACACAAACAAAGCTTCAACCAAATAACAAAATATCGTAGTTAAGTTGAAAGATTATAAAAATGTGCATCAGTTTTTAATTAATTAAGAATACAAATCTAGATCTCCTGAACATAACCTTTAAGCGTTTGTTGTCTTCAAAAAGTCCTAAACAATCTTACAATCCATAAAAACCTCGTGCTGAGTCACTAAAGTCGAGCGCACCATAGAAGGTATACTTGAATAAGTCCATTTTTATACTTGTTTTGACCAATTTCTTTATTTATATAATTGTTTTAAGGAAATCATTGGCTTGCTAGCACTGCATACAATAATCCTCTATTTATTAAGCACCGAATTGTCAAATATAGCAGTACAAAGGAAAGGCGATGGATTTTTTTTATAAAAAAGCATTGAAACAACAAAAGGGTACATTATCCTTAAGCATAGTTACGCAACTTTTGTAGCCTGTTTAGTGCTTTTAAAGTCTTTTTGTTTTAAAATGCTTTCAATGTCCAGATCCGAGTATGTGCCAAATCTTGAGGCGGTCGCTATACTTTCGAGACGTCAATAAACGATATGACGCACTAGCTAGTTATTATTGTTACGTGCAAATGTGTGGCAAATTTTAAAGGGTTATTTTCGCTACGCGGATAATCCCAAACAGTTATATGCCTACGCATATATTACGGAACAGTTAATTTGCCTACGCGCATATTCCAAAACAGTAATTTTTCCTTCGCGTAATCTACCGCGGGAAAGAAAGTGTTATCCTCCTTGAAGGAATAAAAACATACAGTTATATCTTAATTGTTTTGTTAGTGGTTACTATAGTAAAGTATAATGATAATTGTTATCACCTACAAATGAACTGCAGGTATAAGCATTCATATTTACCTCCGTCAAGTTGTAACATTCTGGTACTTTGGCTGTGGCATAAAAACGTATAATATTGGCAGGATCAACGTGTAATTTATCGCCTAGTAACATTACTGATACAGTTAGAGGATTCATAATGATCTCTCTGGAAACGTTGTGCCTAGCAACGTATGATAAGTCATTTAAATCGTCCTCAACAGTTACAATAAATTCAATATTTTCCCCAGGTAGTATCTGCAAATACGCAAAATGTACAAATTTTAAAACATAACAATATATCGAAGTTCATTTGATGACAATGTTTCCAAAAAAAAAAATAATGCTCGAAATAAAATATTGTTAATACCATATTAAAGCCGTTGAAGAACTATAAAGCCAAAAAGCAACAAAAAAGGAAACCAAATTATTCGTATGAAAAACCCGCATTTCGTTATAATGCATTACAATTAAAAAAAAAAAATATTGCAGTTACATAACTTTTTTTCAAAAATCAGTATTAAATAACAATAACATCATGCCATTACAAAAGCGGCAAGCGGGATATTGATACTCTCACATGATTGAATTCACTAGTAGTAGTCTCGATCGAGTGGGCGTAATACAAGAATGCAAGATACTAATTTGATGTACAGAAGCATTTCGAAAATAGCATATTGACTATTTGACAACAACTGCCATGCTGTGAATAAAAATGTAGAAACCCAATCTGATTTAGGGGTTAAAGGACACACGATAATAATTGTAATATTAATGTAATATGGAATAATTTTACTTATTACGATTAAAGATGATTTAGAATATCGGATTTTACGTTAATGTTGTGCGATACACTGAGTTAATTCCGGATAAATTCACTTTCATTTTCAGAAAACGGCGTGTCACGTAATACTAAATAAAGCGGTTACTAGTATCTTATTGTAAAATTTAAGAAATTGTAGATCCATATGAAGATGTGTTTACATGAATATGTCTTCGCGGTTCACAAGTGTGTGTATTAATGTTTATGTGGTTATTTTTTTATAATAACTTTTCATGAGTGACTGCATAGTTTTTATGGTCATAACGAATCACTCCCTTCGTATTTCAGTTGTCTATTACTTCAGACCTTTACAAAATATTCATGGTTGAAATTTTTTGAAGTTATTGCACATTATAAGCTTTCTCTCTTGATGTACTCAAATTATTTTCCTTTTACAAGTTCTTATTCTTATATCCATTATGTCATTTTACATCTACCGATTAGTTTACTGTTATTATTTCATGAGTTTTCCTATTGATCCGAAACAAAGTTTGTTTTATCGTTGTGAATTCAATCGGCAAACCTCGGCAAATTCCGCTAGCTTACATTAATAGATCTGCCGAATGATTGTAAGATTGATAAAAACATATTAACTATAATTTGATTCACCTCATCATGGTGTATGGCTAACATCCTGGGACTATTTTTCAGAGCATTAATTTTGTTCACAAGAGAGGTAAAAGAGGTAGAGTTGACCCATGAAGTATTACCAGATGCTAAAACAGAAATCATAACTTCAAATTTATAATACTCAATAGCAAATAAAGTATTTCTTCTTTAAGTGTTTGTATGAAATTACTTGATTAATAACCTTTTTAAACCACCAATTGTCAATCAAAGTGTTTATTCCATAGCGTGTGGATCCTTAAATTGTAAGCTTGCATATTTTGCAGACTTAAAAACAATCGTAGGTTTATCGCCTTTCAATAAAAGTGACGACAAATATCCAATTTTCAATTGACAAATAAATAAATAAATAAATATGAAGCGAGAGTGACGGTGACAAAATTTCTGACTCTACAAAGAATGTTCGCAGTTACTGAAACCCAGCTTGAATTTTCTACTGAATCCGTAGATGCGCTTTCTTAAACTAAAGTTAATATCGATTACTGCATTTTCTAAAAAATTATAATAGAGCTC